ATCAATTTGATCATCCACACCGATAGACAGTATTCCAAAATGAGGAAAAGCAGGTCTTGTTTCGCACCGGGTGAGAATAGCCTACGCTGGCAAGCCTCACCCGGGGTGAGAGGTAGATCGTTTTTCTATTCTCACCCTGGATGAGAATAGCCACTTCCATAGCCAAAAGACTCGCCTGCGCTATTCTCATCCGGGGTGAGAATAGAGGTGGCCAAAACAAAAACCCTTTTGAATTAGCCTTACGGTAGTATAAAGCATGAGATCAGCCCCAGTTTGGGCCTCAGACGACGAACGATAAGATTTATAACTTAAAGACTAGAATTTTTATCAGTCCTGCCTGAGGAGACAGTACTGTGTTTATACCGCTACTATTCTCCTTGACAAAGGGTGCCTGTTTTACACACGTCTGGCTGTACGTAGACCTAAATCTAGATCTATCTAGATTTAGATCTTGAATCTAGAGTCTAGACGAATAGTCAAGTCTAGATCTTTTAAACTTACTTAGACTTAGACTTGGAACAGTAAGTAGGCTACTAACTAAAGAGTCTGTAGAAACACAAAAATGAGTGGTCCATATCGACAAAGTAAGGACTAGACATTCGTCGTCAACTGGTTGATAAGATTACAAGAAAGGCAACGTTCACTGAATAACAAGGACGACTCACACAACTGCATATAGAACAAGAAAAGTGTAGGGCTGTTCACGCAAGTATTGCCGAGGAGAGCTTGGATTGGAGCTTGAGACCTGAGAGAGATCAGCCTTCTTTTTCTCCCTTGGAGAGGAACTTCCGTTTTACTTTACGCAGTTTCCGGTACAGAAAGGAAGTTGAACCTGGTTGAACTGCGCATGATCGCACGCAAAAGAACTTAGGCCTTGGCTAAGAAGCTTCCCAATCCCCGCTCTTGTCGACTGTCGTAGATTTAGGCTTACGTTGTATTTTCGAAAATTATTATTGATTAGGCCTACGTAAAAAAGAAACTAAGATAAAGTGCTACAAATATTTTGGGTCAAATAAGATATGTTTTACTGTCCCTATCTTCCTCGCAAGGCTTCAAGGCAATATATATATAGCCAACCACAACCAGATAAAGAAACTAAAAGGCCTAGATCTAGATTATACATAGTTACCAAATGCGAGTAATTTTTACAAAATCCAGATCTAAAAATCTAAATTATGAAAGGAAACTTATTTACACTGAATTGGCTTCTTTGGTGGTATCTTTAGAAACAAAACTCTACTCTGCTTTTATTTTCCTTTGAAAATAAAACAACACCAATGTTTAATTTAGATTTAAAGAATTCACCCACATTAATGCTCCGAGTCTTGTAAATTATGTAATATACACGGCCTTTGCAGTCAGCAAACATGAAATCAAGTACGAATTCTTCACACCCATTCTCCTTTTTTCATGTTATACTCGCGGTCATATGTTTTATTAGATCTTCAATTAGGGGAAAAGACAGTATTATGGTATTGTAAAGTTTTCAATTTCTTTGCAATCACTGTACTGTGATTGTAGCTGTAAATCTTTACCCACAAAGGCTGACACAACCGCGAAGACATTGACATACTGTCTAGCTAACAACGTGTGTATTGGTATTACAAAAGCCCGCTGATGGGTCGCATAAAGCTGGCATTCCATATGCCCGAAAAATCGATGCGAACTTCGGGTGCACGAAATTTCGCGTGCGATGAAAAAAGAGCCCTCCTTCCATATACCCGAAATTCGTATCCGTCATCTGACTGAAGTCACGACACCAGTTCAGTCAGAGCAAGCACTCTACGTTGAAAACGAGAGAATTTTGCTGTTAGAACTCCTGTTCCTACGAAAGCAGGCTTTAAATTGCTTGGTCCAGACTTGATGATGGCCTTTCCTTCATAAGCTTTGCTTACTTTGGTCGTTTTCTTTTCGAAGCTTCGGTCCTATCATCGACAGCGCTGGCTGATGTGGCTGCGGCACAGACAGCAATCTTAAGTTATAATTAATGTATGTTAGAAATTGTATTCAAGTGCATTTAAGGGGGGGTAAGTGAAATGCAATTTTTTTGTTATTACATGATTTAAACGATGAATGATAGCATAGATAGATCTAGATTACATAGACTCCCGAAAGTTTCCCACACGCTTTAAAAAAAGTGGTTGCCATGGAAATGGCAGCCACATTGAACATAAGGTACAACAATACCCCTAGTATACGCTACGCACGATGCACGTGCCATGTGTCGTTGCCAGAACGTTCCTTAAATTGTGGGAGAAAAAAAGAATGAGGTCACGTTAGTTTGGGGGGGGGGGGGGTGTTCATCCTGCAAGTGACTTAATTGATTCTGAGCCTGCTCGTTTGTGTGTTTATTGAATCCGAGTTATCCTTATTCATCATCATCCAGTGCCAGATCTGCGACATACATCGGCGATCATTCTTTCCTTTGCTCGGATGATCTAAAAAAGCTACGTTTCCCTGATCTTTCCGTGTTACCCATTTGTTTAGGTTCCCAAAGTATGTTGTTCTGGGCCTACCCCTGCCTCGCTTACCCTCAATTTTGCCAGTGAGAGCTAGATGATCAAGACCCTTATGTCTATTCAGATGTCCCAAAAACTGCATTTGTCGTTTCCTGATTATTTTTAACATTGAGCGTCCCACGTGGGTTTCATCAAGCACTACCTCTTTTGATTTCTTTTCCTTCCACGATACTCTTAGCAGTCTCCTAAGAAACCACATTTCTGTTGCTTCTATTTTATTTTCACTGTCTTTAGTGATTGTCCAGCATTCACAGCCATATATAGAAGGGTTGACCAAACATAGCATTTCAGAACGTTCATTTTGGTGTCCATTGAGATGTTCCTATTTTTCAGGATTGTGCTCATTTTATTGAGACTAGCCTTAGCCATTGCAGTTCTTTTTATTTCTGTGGAAGATCTGGCATCAGATGTTATCATATATCAGATATTTAAACTGTTGGACTTGTTTGATCTTTTCACCTTTGCTAATGAGATTGCAACCAGGATTTGCTGCTTTTTGGGGGGATATTACCATGCATTCTGTTTTATGTACATTCAACGATAATCCTTTTCGTTCACTTTCTTTTACAACAGTATCTAGAAGCAATCGAAGGTCCTTTTCGGAGCCTGCTATTAAAACCGTGTCATCTGCATACCTGATGTTATTAATATTTTCTCTTTTACTTTGAGGCATGGACATTCTTCTATGCTTCTAAGGATTGTTTCACTGTACATGTTAAAGAGGTCTGGTGACATAACACATCCTTGCCTCACTCCTCGCCTAATCTGCTTATATTCACTGTATTCTCCATTAATTCGTACAGCATCGTTTTGGTCCCAGTACAAATTTCTGGTAATGTTTAGATCTTTTCCATCCATGTCTAGCTTTTCCAGTATTTTAAATAACTCATCATGTCTAACTTTATCAAACGCCCTTGAATAATCTATGAAGCATAAATACAGATCTTTTTGTGCTTCAGTACATCTTTCCATTAACATTGTTTAGGTGAATATAGCATTAACAATGTTCATGGAAAGATGTATTGAAGCATATCCTTATTACTTTCCATTAATAAGGGGGGGGGAGACGGAAAATCCAACTCTTTTCGTTGAATCCGAGTTCCACAAGATTTGCTCGTGTCTTTGATATTGTTAATGGACAGACCCACGCAAGCTGTTTCTCCTGTTTGTTTTGTTTATTTAATTATATGGCCAATACTTTTTATGCTAATGTACTATAACAACATCAGTTGCCCAACACCCTTAAGTTAAAGATTAAAAAAGAGCATTCATTTGCTTCTAGATACGGAATTGAAGGTGAATGTAATACATGTGGTTAGCGTTGAATCTGAAGAAAACAATCAAGCGAGCAAAGGTGAAAAGATGAAACAGGTTAAACGGTTAAAATAGGCTATAAATTATAAGCTATAGGATACATGTACATGTATATCAATAGTATCCGATAGCCTAACAAATGTTCTGCAGAAATAAAATGAAAAATTTGAATTGGCTAAATAAGACAGTTTTAGTAAAATGAGCATAATCCTGAAAAACAGAAACATCCCAAAGACTACCAAAATAAAAGTTCTTAAAGGCTATGTATGGTCAACCCCCTCCCCCGTCCCTTTCTGTGCGGCAGTGAATGCTGAACAATTACCAAAAAACAGTGTG